TTTGCCGTTGAGGTTGGAGAGAAGGGAGGAGGCTTTGGAGGATGGCGGGGCCTGCTTCTTTGCAGATTTGAAGCCCGCTGGTGGTTTGTATGGCTGGGGACCTGAGATTACGACCCTATGGGAGCATGTGTTAGTTAATATCAGAGCTGGTAGAGCGATAATCTCTTACCTGTTGCCTGGGCTGGAGCTGGGCTTCATTTCGTTGGAATCGTCGGAGTCGCTGTCCGAGTCTGAACCTGAATCCGAGGTTTCATCTTCGCTTGATTCCTGCTCCTTCAAGTGTTTTGTCAATTGTTTCTCTTTTTCGGTCGTGACCTCGGGTGAGGTCGATCTGCTCGAGCTGCTATCGCTGTCGGATGATGCCATGGTGGCTGTTCAATGTCTTGGGCAAACTCGAGGTCGAGACTTCAATGCTTTTGCAAGGATGCGCAGCGTTTGGCACACTCGGAAACAACAAAATGGATGGAACCGGATATAATATAGTTTCAAAGGATATATAAGCGAGGTTTCAGCGAACCCAATTCCGCAAAATGAGTTGGATCGACGTCTAGTGAAGGGGCTCAAATCCAACGATCTTTTTTTTTCTGCTCCGCGGGAGCACGGACCACCAGCCAACTTTTTTTGCTTATCGGCTTTGGACTTATCAAGGTTATTTTCCTTTCGAACACAGGCTCGAACCTCGTGCGAATTGTATAATATCATGGTGAAGCGAAAGGCCGAAAAACAGCAAACAGCGGGTAAGAAATCTATCAATATTATACATCACCAATTTGAAGCTCACAGGTCGTTTCTCTAGGCCCTGTTAGCGCTGTCGCTGCTTTGGCAGCCCGTAGAGCTCGACAACAGCAAGCACAGAGCGCGAATGTTCCAAAGGATGTACCAAAAGCTATTGTTGAGAGCGAGCCGCCATCAAAAAAGTCACGGCAGTCTCTCGAGGCACCTGGGGCGACTGGAACCAATGAAGAGTATCGTGGTACACGGACAAAGGCAGCAAAGAACCAAGACGAGCTATTTCCCGCAGAAACAACACCGGAACGACTAGTAAGAGTTGTGCGGCCTCAAAAATTGGAAGTGAAGCCCGAGGCGGAGGATACTGTTAAGCAACCCGAAGACGAGCAGCCTGAAAAAGAACAAGTCGAGGAAGCAGGAGAAATGGAGGAGGATGACATTGCGTCTGTTGTGGGTGCTGCTGATGACTATGAATCGCCTGCAGAAATACCGGCGGAGCTCCAGAATTTCCCTCTATCAAAGGCTCGATTGAACAAAAGCAACATAGTCTACAGTGATGAGAGTACGCTTTGCATTCGCATTAAGGAACGGACGGTATGGACGAACCTTTCCGGTCATTCGGGGTGAATACTGACTTGATCTAGAACCTGGCATTGTTGGGCTATTATGATCTCTGGGTCAAAAGAGGTGTTGTCAGTCTGATGGGCGCAAAATTACATCCATCCTCCCAACTGCATAGAGTCTATGCTCCTTCGACCCACTCTTTGCCAGTCATCAAATGTGTTGCTGGTGTTGACGGCGAAGCAGAAGTGGAGATCAAGTCCTGCACCAGCGGCATTTCCCGCCTCCGTGATCTCTCGCCTCTGTTTCAAAGGGTTTGGGCTGGCGAGAGCACCGCTGCAGATAAAATCACACTTAAAGGGGCTGCAAAAGACTCGAAGCGGACTTTTTCAGTGGTAAGCTATCATAATTCTACTCCGGCTCAAGAACTGTTTGAAGCTAATTGACCTGGCAGTTGTATACATCGGCAGATGATTCTTTAAATAGACATATCCGGCCACTTCACCTTGACAAGAAATGGAGTGCATCAATGAAAGCTCTCTCACAACGTGAAGGACAACTTCGGGTTCTAGTCTGTGGCCCGAAGGCATCTGGGAAGTCTACCTTCAGTCGATACTTGTTGAATCATGTTCTCAGTCCGACACCAGATGCCGAAAATGGATATATTAATTCCGATGGAGTTGCTTTCCTGGATCTAGACCCAGGTCAGCCTGAGTTTGCCCCTATGGGTCAAGTTTATCTTGCGCGCTTACGTTCTCCATTCTTCGGTCCGCCTTTCACCCATCCATCATTGGATGATTCCCATGACGGTGAAATAGTGCGAGCGCATCACATCGGTGCAGCATCTCCAAAAGAAGACCCTGATCACTATGCACTAGCGGTTATGGATCTTATGGATCAGTTCCGCTCGTTACTGGAAAAACATCCCCAATGCCCTCTGATTATCAACTATCCCGGTTGGATCTTTGGACAAGGATTAGAGGTTGTAACTTGGCTGGTCAGATCTCTCGGTCTCTCTGATGTGGTTTATATGAGTGAAAAGGGCCCATCAGAAGTTGTGGATCCGTTGGGGCTGGCTGCCCGTGAAGCTCGAGTCCCCTTGACAATCCTCCCCTCTCAGCCTACTGATTTCGTGAGCCGATCAAGCGCTCAGTTGCGAGCGATGCAAATCCAGTCATACTTCCATATGTCTTATCCAAATGATCTCAGCACTTCTCTTTGGTCGGATGTACCGCTGTCTCGTACGAGGCCTATTACTGTGAACTATACGGGCGCACGACAAGGCATTCTGGGCGTCATGGTCATGGGATCCCAGATCAACCCCGATTTACTCCATGAAACGCTTGAAGGCGCTATCGTAGGAGTCGTGGCCGTGGAATCGCCGAAAGCTATCATGAGGGGGATAGCGACACCAGAGCCACCAAATAACGAATACCATGAGGACACCGACATGGATTCAGCAAACCCAGACACGGGTAATCCAGCTGATCTTTCCATCGCCGACAGTATTGTACGAACCTCAGAGGGCCTTCCTTACCTCTTTGTTGGTTCCGGCAGTTGCACCCCATTGGATCCCAAATCGTCGAACTGTCTTGGCCTGGCTTTGGTCCGCTCGATAGATACCTCTTCGCGAAAGCTTGAGCTATCCACTCCTATTCCCTCATCTCACCTAGAAAATGCCATCGAGCATGGTCATGGCATTGTGCTGGTCCGCGGGCAACTGGATAACCCGAATTGGGCTATCAGTGAAGAATACTACGCCGCTCGTGCGGCAGAGCGGCGTTACCAGCAATCGACATCTGGGCTGAGGAAACCTGGAGACTCTGGCAGTGATCAGGCACACGAGCTCGATCCGGCTGAACACAATCGAACGCTTGCACTGCTACGAGAAAGGGTTCGCCGGGCGAGCAATGTGCCTTGGATGACTGTGGTGGAAGATAACAGTCGTCACCAGCGTGAAGTTGCTGCGCGACGAGAAAAGTCACTGTGGAAGTTAAGGAAGAAGGCATATCCCGGCAGCGAGAGCGAGGCGGACTGTTAGCCTCTGTGAAATCCATATAGTTAGAAAATACTCGATTTCCCTGGTAACATTGCTATGTACAACCTACATTATGCAAATCACTCTCATCTAATGCAAAAATGTCTACACCTATCTCAACTCCTCCCACTGCACACCAGCCCATTCCTCCCGCCACCCAGTAACACCCAATTCCGGGGGCGTACAGTTGTTCCCACAAACCCCCATAATGATAGTGCCCCACTCCATGCCTGCATCATCCTTCCCAAGCCCAACACCAGGACGTCCCTCTTCAAGCATGGTAATAGCGTGCGGCACAATCTGGAACTCGAACACACGCTGACTTCCACAGTACTCACAAGCCGGGATGCTCCCCGCACCGAGTGTGGTGACCTTGGCGCCAGGGGCATTGTGAGCATGCAACCGGGCACCGACCTCATCACCAGTCGAGTACAGCAGCGGCGTCCCGCGGAACTCATACCGCAGCACCTGCTCCGGGTTGTGCTCGAGGCGCATCGAAAACTTCATGAAGTCTTTGTCGAGCTCGGACTCGAAGGTATCCTTAAGCTCGGCGCCGCCAGCGCCGTCTTCCTCCATTGGTTCGATCTGCACATTATCCGGCACTGTGGGCGAAGACGGCCGCGAGAGAGTCTCGTATTCTGCGTCTAGGTAGAAATTGTTGTATGGCGCAGGGAAGGCAGACTGCGCAGGCCACGGCACCGGTGTGCTTGATTCCGGGGTTTTCTTTGTCGCGACTGAAGGAGGCGGCGAAGAGATGCGCACTTTGTCGGCGAAAGATGAGGCCAAGGTGTTTGTGGACACGGCGGGCTTCTCGGCTGTAGGTGGTGTTGCCTGGACCGGTGTTGCGAAGGGATTGCTTCCTGCGGGTATTGGACCCGAAGTGGATGAGAAGGGGTTCTGGTTCGAGGAGATGTTGCTTGTCAAGTTGGTTGCGCCAAACAGGCTCGCTCCTAGGTCCTGCTTGGGTTTTTCTGGTGCGACGGGCTTGATCTCCTCTGTTTTCGCTTCAACTTGTTTTTTTTGTTCGCCGATAGTGACCTTGCGCGCTGCACGGAATGCTCTGATACTGCCTGGCTTGCGGTTGCAGGGTTTTCTGGGGCAACCAAATAGGTATAGGCGTCGTTCATCGGTCGGGAAGTGATCGGGCAGGTCACCGTGCAATTCGAGAAGGAGGAGCATTGGGCTATTGCAGACTTTGCAATTGGCGAAATCGCCAGGCGCTGGGGAGGCTTCATCGAGCCATTTCTGAAGAAAAAAAATTAGTTGGAGTCAAATTATAGAGAGTGATCTCTCGCAGTGGTAAAACATACCGGCCAGCCTCCAAGATGGCTGATTACATCCTCGACGACATCCTCGGCGGCATAGCCGAGAAGCACACCAGTATCGGTGAAATCTTCATCGACACTGGAGTCACTATCATAGGGATCCATTTTGAATTAATTCGAAATTCAGTGTATCCAAATCTGTGATGCCCCTCAAAAAAGATAAGCGATATGGAAATACACCAGTCCTAAAATAGACTAGCGTACTGAGGGTATCAACTACCAAGCTACGCTCATGCCATCACTTCCTTGATACTTCAACGTCTGATGATATCTGATCTATTTTTTATGTCTAGTTGATCGGGAATTCAAACTAAAGATTAGCTCTATCATCTTCTAGTCCCATAATCATGCGGGCTTTTATGCCACGACATGTCCATCTCTTCCTGTACTCCGTCTTGGCCATCTTGCTCGGCTCATTTGGCAATGCAGCAGAACAAGAGCAACTGCGAGGGACCGTTAGTGCAGCCCCCAAGCGAGTGGCAATAATTGGTATGCCTCTCTCTTAAGGAGCACAGTTCTACATGAAACTGATATCCCTCCCTATAGGCGCTGGAGCCGGAGGCTCGTTTGCTGCTTATCAGCTGCGCAAGCTCGCAGATGAAGCCGACATCCCAGTCAATATTACAGTCTATGAGCGTGAATCATTTGTTGGCGGCCGCTCAACAACAGTCAATGTATTCGATGACCCAGCATACCCCATTGAACTAGGCGCTTCCATTTTTGTCCAAATCAACTACAACCTGGTCAACGCTTCCCGTGACTTCGGTCTGACGGTCAGTAGTGCTGACTATGCACGGCCTAAGGAGGCCGATGAGAGTATTGGGATCTGGGATGGGAGCCAGTTTGTTTTCACGTTGAATAATTCGTATAGCTGGTGGAATATCGGCCGGCTCTTCTGGCGGTATGGACTGGCACCACTACATACCCAAAATCTGGTGAAACGGATTGTTAGCAGGTTTATCCGCCTTTATGAAGAGCCCTTGTTCCCTTTCGAGTCTCTTACTGAGGCGGTTGTTGCGGCTGACTTAATTGATGCTACTGCATTATCTGGCGACACATTTCTCCAGGCAAATAGTGTTGACTCGCTATTTGCGAGGGAGATCATCCAAACAAGCACTCGAGTGAATTATGGTCAGAACCTACAGCTGATCCATGGCTTGGAATCAATCGTTTGTATGGCCACGGAGGGAGCGGTTTCCATTGAGGGCGGAAATTGGCGCATTTTCGATGGCGCGCTGAGAGCGTCGGGAGCGAATGTCAAAGTAAATACCACTGCCACTGAGATTTCCCGCGGTGATGATGGGAGTGTGCGAGTCTCCTCAAAGCTAAACACCGCTACCGACTCAGAGCACGAAGCATTTGACGAAGTTGTCATTGCTGGTCCTTTGCAATACTCGGGTCTCTCCGTCTCCCCTCCCTTGGAGTACACCCCAGATGAGATTCCATACGTTAATCTGCACGTTACACTATTTGCATCCCCGCACCGCATCTCACCAGAATATTTTGGCCTGAAGGGTTCAAATGCTCGAGCGCCTGAAACGATTCTGACCACTTTGCCCGAGGGCCTTGATCTGGGCTCGAACCCAGATGGTGTTGGGCCCAGCAGCTTCTGGAGTATCAGTACACTTCGAAAAGTGGATCATCAATACGTTTACAAAATCTTCTCGCCAAAGCGGCTCACGGCTGAATTCATTGCCCAGATTCTGGGGCTAGAGAGTGAGACTGTGGGGGGCAATACAACCATTGGAGACCTTTCGATAGGTGATATCAGCTGGTGCCACGAGAAGCTATGGAATCCATACCCTCTTTTGTATCCCCGTGTAACATTTGAGGAGACTCTTCTGGCTCCGGGAGTGTGGTACACAGGTGGCATCGAGAGTTTCATCTCAACAATGGAGACTAGTGCGCTGATGGGCCGGAACGTGGCAACTCTCATGTTCCAGTCGTGGCAGAAGAAACAAGATCAGACGGACAATGACGCCTCATCCAGGGACGGAGAGCTTTAAGCCAGATTCTGTCTTGTCTTGGCTTGTTAGACTTCTTTTAATCAAACCTATCAAGCATAATGAACGCAGGTGAGGTACATTTCTAGCTTTAAGCCCTCTGTTGTGTCATCTACGCTCTCACTTCAGATGAAAGAATGAACTTGATAACTTTCTATGCATACATCAACAACATGATACCACTGTGTATACATGGTCAAAGTAGTGTAGATCTCTGCTACCAAGTACACCATATGCGCAACGGTGTTGTCTCTGCTCGCGCTGAATTGGTAAATTCTCTCACCAACGACGTTAAAATTGGAACAGCTCACTAGGTCCAGCGCTACACACATGTGAGTAACGTAGTTCTTTTGCTCGTCCACCACCGAGGATTGGAACTGCAGGAGGCAGTCTTATTTGTCAATCTATCAAAGATAGCTATGCCGCCTTCGAGAGCCTTGTGCCAGATGTTCTTGCGCTTGCACCTGAAAACGGGGTAGCCGGTAAGGGTCAAGTTTTCGTGGCCTGCTGTAAAGATGCTTACGCTGGAATTGTGAGCTGGCAGTATGAATACTCCATAGGTGATCACTGGGATTGAAGCGCGAATCTGACAAGACCTAGAAAAACCTCGAGAGCAACCTGTCAATCTTCCCACACACCATGGCCCAAGCAACCCTATATGATCAAGTTGATGTCGTCACTAGCGCAGGCTCAGCTTATGTCACTGGTCATTCTCTTGTGATCGCAGCAGCGAAGTCCAACGCAAAAGCCATCCACGCCTGCGGCATCAATTCAAGCTATTTCACAGACCTCCAAAATGCTGCGAAAGCCCCTGGAAATAACACTACTTCAGATTGTCGTATATTCCTCTTCCGAAGAACACACGCCTAACTCACTACAACAGATGTGAAAGTCTTATGATCGATTCGGCTTCCACTATGCCGGTGCGGATATTGCAATCTATTGGTCCGTCATTGTTTTCTGGTTTCCTTTTATACATTTTTCGGTAGCAGATGACTGACTAGTACTTAAGTGGCCTTGAAATCCTCTTGGAATCCCATTGTCAACGCGCAATGGCAGTCATGCAGACCGGAGCTTTCCTAGCACTGAAATTCGGTTCCGAAGCCATGAGCGTGCGACATCCTGTAACAAACCCATGCTGAAAGGAAATTTGGTAGCCACATCCTCGTTTACAACACCAAGCGGAGGATTCTTAGACATGTTATACGCAGTAGCGAAGAACGGAACGGCTGCAACGGTCTCGTGCGAAGCGGCGCTGTTCAACTGTCTACGAGCAACTTCCGCGTGAATGCTCATACTGTTGCGCCTGATTCTACCACTACAAGCATGTTTGCTACTTCCAACCCTGCTGAGAGGAAGGAGTGGATCATAGGCTCGACAAGACCGCCGAGGAAAATTCAGAGCGAGTCGGCTACGATCTGTCGACGCTTTGGAGTAGGTGAAGGGTCAGACGTATTATTATAACCGCAGTGCTGCGTCAGAGGAAATAGCCAATGTTGCTATTTTCTTGGATTCGGATCTAGCAAATGGAGATTAAAGGTCTGGTCATTGTTGCTGGAGGTGGGAAGTCGGTTGCGGCGTCTGGGGATACTTTGTGGAAGCTGGATGTTTTGAACGTTGGTGTCATTTGTGCATATATTCTCTATATTGACACCGTGTCGTGCCACATTCCCATTTCTTTTACATTTGGAACTGGCTCTGTATGATTTTTGAAATTGGCAGCAAAGCCGACCCTTCATGGAGGTACGACTGAAGTTATGTTATGGTATGGACATGACATCTCTCTCTCTCTCTCTTCCTCATATTATCCGGTGCAAGTATTTGCATGGACAAGTTAAAAAAGATTCCAATACAGACAAGAGAAATAGAAAGAAAAAAAAAAACGACCAGATGCGCCAGGTCCCGACTCATCTCCGAGCCCCTCCTCCATGCGAAATCTATCGTCTGTTCGTCACTTGATCGGGGGTGGATTCATGAACTCATGTCATGGATGGAAATCAAATTTTCCTCCGCACAGCTTTTTGAAGTTTTTAAAAAGGTGACACGAAAAAGGAAAGAAGTGAAACATTTCGAATCGACGCGAAAAAGAATAAGGAAAAAGAGAGGTTCCGCAGTATGCACTTATGCGGGCAATTCGAAGCCACGACGGATGACGCGACCGAACTGTTCGATGCCGACGTGCTCGCTCTTGACCTCGGAGCGGGCCTCGTTCTCCTTGTTGGTAGGAACGCGGATGACGGCGCCATCAACCTTCCAGCCGCAGACGTCAACGACAAATTTGTCGAGCGCATCACGGCTGCGGACATCCAGCCAGGACTCGAGGTTCTCGGCGGTGATGGAGCGGAAGGTGTTGCCGACCTCGACGGCGATGCGGATACGGACGAGCTCCTCGAAGCCAGCCACATCGGCGGTCAGGTCGGCGTACAGGTCGTCCGAGTTCAGGGTGGACCAGAATTGAGCGTACTGGGCGGACTCGAGGAGGGTGGACAGGCGGGCGAGCTTCTGAACAGACTCGACGAAATCGGAGGTCTGCGAGGCGGACTGAGCCTCGGCGGTGGTGGGGAAGGGCTGGGTGTTTGTTGGGAGCAGCGCGAGGCAGAGCGAGAAGGCGGGCGAGGGGAACACGGTCAGGGCCTTGACCAGGATGTTGGTCACGGTATCGGGTTGGATAAGGTGGGGGTTGAACTGGAAGCTGGAATTTTTTTGAAGAAGGCTGTTGTTAGCTTGGATTCGAGAATTTCTCCACGATTGGAGGTTTTGTGAGAATTGTGGCAAATTGGTGGTTTCAACCAATGCATGAGTTCTTCCCGTTCAGTATCTTCACCGAATTTCTCAACATGCTCAAGTATGTTGTGGGGATGTCAGGTTATAGGAAACGCTTGAAAGAGACTCATCATAGTAGAGCCTTCTCAAATACAATCTTCGCAATACATTGATTCCTCCACAAAAAAGGGTGTCCAACTCACAGCTTCAACAGGGCCAAGTTGGCGTAACAATCGAATGACCGGTCCTCGCACTGCTGAGAGACATAGTCCTGGAAGACGGTGGTGGTCTCGGGGTTGTACCGGTCGAGGCCATTAAGGATGGCCTCAATATGGGCCGGCCGGGTCTTACACTTGTCGAAGGCGACCATTTTGATACTGCTGGAGGGAGGTGGGAGGTGATGCGGGTCTTTTGTCTCTGCTGTTCTTTTTGGTGGGATTTTCCAAGGTTTGATTGTGGCCGTGGCCGGATTAACCTAAAAATGGTACTTTTACCCGAATTCTTCCGGACTATACATCTGCATACAACTAAAGTCGTGTTTCCGAGAAAGTGGCCAATGGCCATTGATTGATTCGTGTTCAAATAATACATAAAATACATATCTCTTGAAAGCCTCGTACGATCAGGCCATCTTAATCATAACCTAGCATCAGTCCCAAGAATGGAAACCTGCTAAACAGACGTGCTTGAATCGTAGAACTCCGTGAAGATCGAACGAGGTGCCCAAGAGAAGAAGCATGTCACTTCAAGGGAAAAAAACTGAAATCAAGGCTGGTAAACAAGAAACTCCGTTCCGTGTTTGTCAGACGCCATTGTCTATGCCCATGCCCACATCGCAAATAACACAAGAAAAGACAAGGCCGAACCCGTATGCAAAATCAGCAATGCAGGAATCGGTCGAAACACCGCATTAAAACGCAAAAAAAACCAGGAAAAAAAACCGAAAAAAAGAGTACAAGGTCAAAGTTGAAAGTGCCTGAAAAACAAAAAAAAGAAACAAGCAGGCGGGTATCTCAATAAGAGGTTCATGTAAATGATGGAAAGAGTATTTCAAGCCATGACGGGCCGGCGAGGCGCAATGGGGATCGCCTTGGGTCCCGCGGAAATTTCAAGGTTCGACATGTCGATGTCATTGCCGTCATACTTCTGGTCGTCCTTTAGCTGGCTTGCCTTGGAGACGAGTACTGGCTGAGAAGGACTGCCGCTTTCTTCGTCACCCACAGTGCTGCAGACAAAGCGTTCTTCGTTAAGAGGGATTCCGCCAAACATGGAGCCCAGCTGTTGCAGAAGTGCGACGAAATGAGCATGTAGTTCGGTAAAGATGTACTCATTGCCGACAATTTCGGCCAAATTACGGGCACGAATCTGGCCAGCTGCACGCCGACCTGCCGGGTCCATACCCCGGCCAGTGAGGAAGGATGAGATGGGAGGGTACTGGCGGCCGGGCTGTCTTCCCGGGTTATACTGCTCGTCGCGGGTCTTCTCGTCTTCCTGAAAGCGTTCCGCAGCAAGGACAATGCTGGTTGCGATGCGACCAAATGCACGCCAGATGATGGGGCATGCGCGGAAAGCTCTTCCGGCATCGCGCCCCGCCAGTGCGACCAGTGCATAGCTACGTCGCTTACCGCGGGCCATGGGATCTGGAAGACGGAAAATGTAGGCAATTGTATACCCAGCGACTCCGTCGCCGAAGCAGATGGGGCCGGAGGAAAGTCCGCGGGGCAAGAGCTCGCAGCTTAGGGTGCGAATGGAGGAGCGTCGGAGGAGTGCATAGTCAGCAGGATTAGGCGGGCCGCGCTGAGAGAGATAGGTGTGGATGTGAGTGTGGCATGAAGCATCAGAGGCAACCGAGGCCGAGTGAATTGAGTCGGGAGGAGACGCATGGGTGTGATAATCGGTCTCATCATCCAACTCTGTATGGTTGCTGCCACATGAGTAGACAAGCTCACGCGAACGGAGTACCGGGCTAGTGGAATTGCCTTTGGCGTCGCGACTTCCAGGGGCACCGGGAGGTAGCTGTTTGCTGACATTTTCTGGTAGAGACAAGCTGCAACTGGCGCAAGTGTCACCATTTGCACCACCTCGGTTGGCCTTTTCTTCGGAGGTAGCCAGATGTCCTTTCAGAAAATACGGGTGATCTTCAATTCTGGGCGACTTCAACTCGGCAGATTTCTGAGACCGAGACTCGTGATCGAAGCGAGACTCGTGAGAAGCCGGGGTACCCAGGGGAGAGTGGTCGG